CAGAGAGAGGTATAGAGAGAGAGAGAGAAACAAAACCAAAAAAAAAAAAGTTAGATGTCTCTCGCCCAGGGAAGTCAAGAATGGCGCGCAACCTCTGGCCAAGTTTTCTGCATGACCGCGAGGGTCCCTCCCAGAAGCCGTCGGGGGCATCCGAAGGCCCAGGGAATCCAAAGACACACAACAAAGCAGAAACATGAAAATCATCTAACATCGCACCACGATCCTCGAGCCTCGCTTGATTCCAGACCTCCGCTGTCGTGAGGCTGTCACGCGCGTGGCCCACGGACCTCTCGACCACTTCCTGGGGATCCCGATCCTGAGTTTTTTCTTGGACCCCGCGACGACCGCTCAAAGTGTCCCTGGAGGCTCCCCGGGGCCACTCCTGATCTCGATTCCATCCCGGATCGGGCTTCGATGGTCTCGGGGCAGCAAGCGGGGCCCAGGCATCCGACGATGCGAGTCGCTCAGTCTGCGGCCCCAGCTGATTAGCAATGAAGAGTCCCCCAACCCTCTGAGAGGCGACCTAAGTCAGGAGGCCAGAAGCAGTAGGGACAGGGACATTCCCTGCTGATAAATCAAACAAAACCGCCCAAACCTGTTCTCCCTAATGCAAAGACGGGGACCTCAGTGAGGCCACGTCTTCATCAAATTATTGAGTTAAGGGTTCACTTATCCTGAATGACAAAAACTCTCGACCCCTTCCCTGGGGCTGGTTTGTCGCCCTATAGATCCGCTTCTGGTGACCCTGGCGCCCCCGCAGACGGCCACCGGAGGCCGAAACGGAAGGAGAACACCAGGAATCTCAAAAAAGCATCCGTCTGCCACCTTGATGGGCGCGGGGGGTGCTAAGGGGATAGGGCTAGAAGTGGATGCGAAGGTGCGTCATTTCTGGCCGAACCTAACTTATAAGTGGGCTTACAATCGAACCTAGGCGTAAGTCGGGCCTGTCCACCTACAGAGTGATTTTCGACGGACAAAAAAAATACCCCAAACATGCCCCCAAAAATGCCAAAACATACCCCAAAAATAATCCCCAGACTATTTTTGTGGACTATGTTTGGATTATTTTGGGGGTATTTTTATTTTTCGTCGAACGTCCCCCTGTAGGGGGACAGGCCCGACTTAAACCTAGGCCAGAAGAACATCCGTCAAGAGCAGAAGACCCTCCGTGGGACAAAACAAGCAGAACATCCAAGGGCGCCCTGCCCAGGATGCACAAGAACGTCCAACAAGCACGAAGAACACGAGCGTTATGTCGGGCGTGTCCCCCTACAGGGAGAACTTCGACGAAAAATTGAAAATACCCTGGAAAAAAACCCAAAAATCAAAAAATACTCAAACATAGTCCCTGGACTATTTTTTGACTATTGTTTGATTATTCCTTTGGTATCTTTTATTTTTCGTCGGAAGTCCCCCTGTAGGGGGACAGGCCCGACATAACACGAGTTTACCCTCCCCGAACCAACCTCGATCTTATACCTCGGCCCGGCTGCGGGACTTTTAAATCACTCCGCTATGTGGGCGGAGACTACTTAGCCCGAATTGCGAACACCACCTAATTAAGCCGTCGGTGGCACTTGCAACACATGTATAAGCTAGGCTCGACCAGATATGAAAAAGACCTTGGCATCCACTTGTGACCCACCACCCTCGCACCGATCCATGCAGGTGTCTTGGAACAGCGAGATCGAGGAAGAAACTCAGAGGCATCCTTGATGGGGTCCGAGTGGATGGGGTCGGAGGGTCGCGCCGCATCGCCAATGCATCGCCGATGCATCGCCGGTGCATCGGCGATGCATCGGCGACGTCGGCGACGCATCGGCGACGTCGGCGTGGAGAAAATCGGGCTCAACATCAAGCCGCATCGCCGATGTATCCCAGATGCGGCACGATCCTCCGACCCAATCTTACCCTGACCCCATCTGGGAAGCCTAGAAATCTCTGGCCGCAGCTGGCGAAAGACCCCGAGCCCCGAGGCCTGGGCCACGCTGACTTGCGAGCAGGCCGCGGCTGAACCCGACTGCTCGGAGCGCGACCTGGCGCTGGGCCTCTCAGAAGGCGTTGTGCTTCAAGCTCAGGCAGGGTTCCTTGCATGCCCAGACCTCCAACGTATTGAAGTTACGACACAAGTGTTCGCCGATTTCGGCCTCTAGGATGCCCCTCACCCGGCCCCAGGACCATCAGAAAACTACTTCGGGACGAAGAGTCTGTCCCAGGGAAGGGATCGCGATTTCCGAAGACCCCGTGTAGAAAGAATCAAGATCTATGATCTCTGGGTGGCATTTCGCCCCAAAGAACGGCCCAGGGGAACCCCAAGACCGTCCCAAGAGGCCCACCCCAGATCATGAGCGGCAGACTCGGGGATTGACAGACCTCCCTTTAATGAAACGTGGTTTAGTGAAAACGACCTGAGGCCCAAACCTGGCGGGCGCGAGCCTGGAAAATAACGGCCGCGGCGCCCTCTCGAGAACCGAAAAGGGACAAATCCCTAATCGACGTGTCACTGTTGGGGGTTCTGTCCACCCTCGACAGACGTATCCGTATCCACGCCCTCGCGGTCTGGATTCCGGGGCGCGATCCCGCGGGACACGGTCGCGATCCCGTGCGGGGCCTCCGCGAGGAAACGCTTCGTATCATCGGGGTCGCGGCCCAGGGGCCTAGCCCGCGAGGCTTGTGTCGGGCGTGTCCCCCTACAGGGGGATTTTCGACGAGAAAAAAATACCCCCAAAATGCACCAAAAAGGTTAGGAAATACCAGAAAAATTGTCCCCTGACTATTTTTGAACTATTTTTTTTATTATTTTGAGAGTATTTTTATGTTTCGTCGAAAATCCCCCTGTAGGGGAACAGGCCCGACATAACGCGAGGCCTCGGATACGGATATATTTTTCGCCCACGACCAGACTCCCATCGGGTCGTGAGTCTCCGGGTGCCGTGCACCGCCCCGAAGCCGCCATGGCAACCCGGGGTGCAACGCCAGGGCCGGGGAAGGAGCCTGCGGACAGGGACTCTGGCCCGGCGTGTCGCCGCGGCGGCCTTCGCTCTGGAGTACCGAAACGGTGCGGTGACGGACCGTGCGGTGACCTCGAAATCCCCCAAGACCTCACCGCACGGTCCGTCGCCGCACGGTTTTGGGACCTCGGAGGCCCCCGTCGCCCGAGACGTCCTCGGAGAGCGACCCGAGTCCCAAAACCGTGCGGTGACCCCGAATACCCACCGACTCACCGCACGGTGTGGTCACCACCCCGTCTGGGGACCCCCGATTCGCAACGCGCCACATGCCCTGCGAGCGGCTCGCGTGTCGCTGCGCTCCGTGGGGCGGGAGGCCCGCACAGGCTCGGGACGTGGAAAGCCCTGGGCCTGGGCGGTGGGCGGCGTGCCGCGCCGAGGCGCGGTGGGCCAGAGCCGGCGCCGCGGCACGCCGGCCCAGAGCTCCTGACCGCAGACCTCGGGGCGCCCACGTCTCCGACGTCCCCTCGAAGGAGGAGGAGGAGGAGGAGGAGGAGGAGGAGGAGGAGGAGGAAGAGGCGGCGGGAGAAGGAGGCGGGAGGAGGAGGAGGAGGAGGAGGCGGCGGGGCGGCGGAAAAGGAGGGGCGGAGGAGGAGGAGGAGGAGGAGGAGGAGGAGGAGGGAGGAGGAGGAGGAGGAAGAGGAAGAAAAGGAAGAGGAAGAAGAGGAGGAGGAGGAGGAGGAGGAGAAGGCCAGGAGTGCCCAGAGGGCCCCACACGTGTCGGTCGGCGGCGCCGTGGGCCGTGGGGCACGAAGCGACGGGCAGCAGCAGCCGTGGCGCGGCAGAACGGATCGCGAGCCAGGTCATGTGGAAGAGGAGAGGATGGCCCTCGATCGGCGACGGTGACGACAACGAGGGCGACGAAAACGAAGGCGAAAACGAAGACGAGGACGAGAACCAGGGAGAGGACGAGGACGAGGACGAGGGCGAGGACGAGGCCGACGACGACGACGACGACGACGACGACGACGACGACGACGACGACGACGACGACGACGACGACGGCGGCGGCGGCGGCGGCGGCGGCGGCGGCGGCGGCGGCGACGAGAGAAGGGGTGAGGATGGGATGCAGACGGGGATACTAGTACGATGTGCGAATGATGGAAACGCACGTCCGACGCGAGCATGTAGCACAACATCTTGTAATATATCTCGGCGGTGGACAAACCTCCTTTTAGCAAACCTCCCCTTAGTGAAAGCGGCCTGGGACCGAAACCGACGAACTTGGACCCGCAAAATGACGGCCGCGACGCCCTCTCGCGAACCGAGAACGGCCAATCTTTAATCGACGTGTCAGGGTAGGAGGTCTGTCCACCCCCGAATGTTCATAGGTTTGTGTGTATTGATATATGTGCATATATCGTCTCGTTAGCGGCAGGGCAAGAAGGCGGCCGCCACGCAGCTTCTATCATAAGATTTCCGAACGCGCCCGTCGCCCTTGAGTGGCCAACGCCCACATCGTGCAGGCATGTTTAAGTGGTGCCAGCAAAGAGGGCGCCGCGCTCAGGACTCGCAGCACTTCGCGTCTAGTGCGTCAGAACCAGGCTCCTGCAGGAACTGTGCGAAACCAGAGAGCCTGACATCCGACATCTTGACAAAAATCTGACCCAGTCGCTTCGCCGTTTTCCGCCACCAGAGAAGCATCATAGCTTGAGCCTCACATCTCGAGGTCGTCGAAGCCCTCGATCATCGACGACGCTGACGACGACGACGACACTGACGGCGACGACGGCGACGACGACGGCGACGACACTGACGGCGACGACGGCGACGACAAGGACGCCGACAAGACAAGACAAACACCCATGGGGTCCTCAGCAGTCCACTCTCCGCGCGGCACAGAACTCTGGGCAGGCAGCTACGCAACCGACGATACATATACATACATATATATATATATATATATATATATATATATATATATATAATATGTCTATATCTATATATATAATGTCAGAACGGACGCGGCCACGCTCTGCGCGAGGCAGCGCTGGCCCTGGCTGGGGGGGGGGGGCGCGAGGCACGCAGCCCCAGATAGGGTCCCAGCTCATCAGGCGCCAGACCTGCCTTTTCCTTTCATCCCCCGACCTCGCCCCCGCTGGAATGTGCCGATCGATCCTCAGGGAAATCGTCGCCATCGCCGCCTCGCAGTCCTTCTTCTTCTTCTTCTAGAGCATCACGCGGCACTGCTGCACAATGCGGCCGAAGTGCTGCAGGGACGACTTGCTGATATGTTTGTTGAGACGGTCGAGCAGCTCCGCCACCGCCTCCGTCACGTGCTCGCTCTCGTGATGGCCCAGCGCTGCGCAGTAAATGATGAGGGCCACGAACACGTGTAGATCTGGCGATCCGCGGCCGCGGAAGTCTGGCTTGCATCCTGCCTGCACCTCCTGCTTCATCTCCTTGCTGCGCTCGTTGTACACCTGCCCCGCGCGCACCATGGCCTGGACGCAGCCCTTCTCTGCGGGAGTGAACCACTTGTGGGATACGCACGCGCTCAGCTGAGCCACCTCCCTGCAAGTGATCAGCAAGAACTTGGCACACGCCTCCATGATCTCTTTGTGCCCCTTGCGGCCTTTCTTCGCTCGCCTCCCTCCTTCCACGGCGTCCTTGGCGATGCCCTCCTTCTGGCTGGCTGGCTGGCTCTGCGGCTGGCTGAACCACGCGGGAAGCGTCAGCTCCCCTGTCCCCGGCATGGCGGTCACCCGCTGCTGGATGTTTGGCGCTCCGAAATTTGCCAAGGTAGGTACTGTTTCAGATGGTCGCACAATTCATCGAAGGCTTGCGCCGAAACTAGCAGCACGGACAGTCAAGGCTCTCAAGAGGCATCTCAGAGACCAGGGCAGCGGGACCTCTTGTGAAACAGTGCCGTCGTTTCAATGAGCCCTGCAGGTGTCGATAGGCAATCTCCCTACTGGAAAATTTGTGCACAGCACATACGAGCGCTTGTACGCGTTAAGACCGACGCAAGGTTTCTGACATGATGGGCGAATCTGAGATGATTGAGCAGTCCTTTTCTAGTCGGGAGATTACACGCGCAAAGAGGCCCCTCAATCAAGACCCCACACCCAAGCTCATCCAACCCCTCGGCCTGGGGGGGGGGGGAAGAGGAGGAGAGACCGCAACCGCAGCCGCAGACGTACCCAAGGGAGGAGGTGAAGAGAGGGAAGGGCCCAGGCCAGGAGGAGGGATGCCAGCCGTGTGTTGTTGCTGGCGAATATCGTGGAAGTCGATGCGGCTGACAACAGCCTCGACCACGAAGACGACTACGACGAAGACGACCACGACGCCGCCGCCGCCGACGCCGACGACGACGACAGCCGAAGGCGACGAAGATGGCCTCGACGGGGCCCCGCGCCCCAGCGATGGCGGAGCCCTTCGCGCCCTCGCGGCTCCAAGGCTTGAGGAGGCCCTCCTCGCGCCCGGCGCCCTCGAGGCCCCCTGTTAGTGGAGTCGTCGGGCATGAAATCAACAAGGTGGGAGAGGGGGGCACTCCGTTTTCAGTAGCTACGCCTCGGGAGCCCGAGGAGTCACTCTCATCCCGCCGCAAGCGGGCACTAAGCCTTAAAGGCTGATACGGGAACACATGCAATTACAAAGAGGGGTGGAGGGAAGAGGAGACACACCACAACGGGACCACTTTTCGTGGAATTGCTATGGGGAAAGAAACCTTATCCTCTCCTGCACTCCTCCCGACTTCCCTTGCCTGCTCGAAGTCCTCCCCGGCCTGAGGGTCGCCCATCAGGGCCTGCCGCGACGCGCGCCGGGAGCGGGACTTAAGATGAGAGTTGAGGGCCCTCTCTGATAGGTGGCCCTCCTCGTCTACTAGAACCATCGTGCCTTTACTGAGGAGATCAAGGAGGGCGAGGTTCGACCTACTGGGGTCGGCTTTCGTCAAGGGATCCGCCGCCATGCGGCCACGTGGAACCCAGCGGACTTGGGACCCCACCGCACTCATACTATCACGCACAACTGCCAACTCGATGGCGTTCCTCCGGTCAGCTCGGCTGCCCGCGCTGTTCCTCGAAAGAGTGTCGAAAATAGATTTCGCGTCAACGACGGAAATCGTGTCAACCTGATCAGACAAAGTGCAATCTCTGCTGAGCACGACTGAAAAAGGAGCTTGCGACAGATGCCAGTCTGGACGCACCACGTCCTTAAATATGAGATCGCGCCACATGATGGACAGCCATTGGGCCTCGGCGAGAGCCGCTGAGAGACTTAACGTCTCGGCCGCTCCTGTGGACGCAACAACACGCTTGAGACGAGTCGACCTCCAAGCAAGAAGAGACACACGCGCCCGGCAGTTCTGCCGGATACTCGAATCGGCAGCTAACACCATCCACCCTCCCTGGGCCCCGTTACGCCTAGCGGACCCGGGACCTCCAGCATCGGACACCGTGACGAAAGTCATGCTCGAGGGGTCAAGGGGCCAGATTACCACCTTCTGACTGGCGGTACTCTTGAGATGCTTGACAGCCTTGATGCACAGAACCGCATCCGACACGAGGGGAGAGGGGAGAGCAGCACTCTGGAGCGACGCACACGCGGCCACGTCGGGCCTGCTCTCTCTCCCTAACCATTGGATCTGGGCTACCATAGTACGATACGCTTTGATCTCACTGGGCGTGAGGGGGTCATCAGGTACAGCTCGACGCTCCTTAGCAAGCGGCATAGCAGCTAGCTGTTCCAAAACGTATTTTTCTTGATCCATATAGATCCGATTGCCTGCTTGTCGCAGGTGTCGACCCGCAAAGTCGGATTCCCCGGATTTCCACTTGCCAAACTTGAAACGCGATTGCAGCCTGGTCTTGAGACCAGCCTTCTCCGAGGGATGAGCCGATACGATCAGATCGTCGACCTCGATCAAACACAGAGCGCGAGGCTCGCCCTGGGACGAGCGCTTGACCCAGAGGCAGGGCTCGAGGAGGCTTTTCTCGAATCCGTCCTCAGCTAACCACTGCGTGATCGTGCGATGCCACAGCAGGGGGGCATCGTTAAGGCCGTACACCGGCGAAATGAGTTCTATAAGCTCGCCAGGGTTGAGCGAGAGACCTTGGCAAGGCTCACAATAGATCTGGCCGCGGGGGCGGGCCAGCTTGTTAGACTGACAAAACGCGTTCTTGGCATCCGCCACCTCCAACTCCCACCCGAGCGAGCACACAGCCTGGAGCGTCAACATGATACTCTCCGCCTGTGGCGTCGGAGAGTATACTTGAAGCTCGTCGCTGTCCGGGTCGTGGTGACCCTGCACGCACCATCTTGATTTAGCAATGGGCTCGGCCCCGAGCCCCTCCTGGGGCTTGAAACGTCGGACCATCCGGGACCCCAAAACTCGGTCCGGGAAGCGGCGACGGATCAGCGAGGCCTCCTGGGCCGGGACGATTCGGACGGCCCCGGACTCTATAATGGCTCGCCACTCCTTCGCATCCGAAAAAACGAACAGCTCCCGCTCAGCATGCGAGAGGCTCTTGAGGGAAACTTCGGCCCCTCGCCGGCTCGGTGGAGCTTCCCCGCTCGAAACTCCGGCCGTTGAGGGAAAACAGTCGCTCCCTCCCTGGGACCAAAAGGACGGTTCCCAGCCAAACCAACTGCAGACTTCCTCCCACAGCTCCTCTTGACCGTCTTCGTCGCAGCCAGACTCAACTTCCCCGTCCAGTCCAGTCTCCCAAGAACTCAGAAAACGATCCCCCGGAGGAACGTGCTCCAAACCGGCCAGGCGCACAGCTTGCTCAGCCGTGCCGGTGACAGGCTCACCTCCGTGCCCCAGCACAGGAGCCCCCCTGGACTCAGGGGTGCGAGACCGAGCTCGCGGTGCAGAAGCAGATGACGCGGCCGCTGCGCCGTCATCACCTGAACGTGTCAAACGGATGCTCGCTGGAACATCGTCGAGCATGCGAAGCTGCCGGGGAGTCCGGCCGCTGGGATCTTTGGCCTCCCGCTCGCGGATCATGGTCCGCACTCGGCCCCCAGCCGGCTGCAGATCCTCGACTGGGGTGAGCACAGGCCTCGCCAGCGCAGGGGGGGAGGGCTCCTCCAGGCGAGGGCGTTGAAGAGGGGGAGGTCCTAACTCGGGATCGGCACCCGGATCATCAGGGCTCTCGATTCCACGCCTTGGTCGAATCTGGCTAGACGCGGGGTCCGAAACCTGCCTGGAGGGAGAGGAAGAGCGAGGAGAGGGAACCTGAAGGTCGGAGGTGTGAGGGTCAGAGACGGTGATGGGGCCCTCGGTCGACACCTGATCGACTGGAACTGGTGGCTGCTCCGATCCTGGCACCTCCGGCGCGGGACCTGGTCCTGGACCATCAGGAGGGGGAGGAGCCTGGGGCCCCGGGATCCGCTCAGCTGACGCCTCGCCCGAGCTTTCTGGGGGGCCCGCAAGATCCCACGCCTCGGGGGGAGGGGGCCCCTCAGCTTCCACGTCGACGGCCCCCACACGTTTCCCGGGATTCTGGAGATCCCGACGAAGAGCATCGAAGGATGGAACGTCCAGCAACTCGGCCCCCCAGGCTTCTTCCTTCGTAGCCCAGCGCACCTGTTCCTGCCCGCACTTTAAAAGTCGAGACCGCATCGCGACCCAAATGGTCGTGCCCTGCTGAAAAACAACGGCGCCCGGTCCAGTCCACCGGCTCCGGCCCAGATCGGCCGACCGGTCCTTGGCTGAAACTCGGCGCCACACGTACACCCAGCTGCCAGGGGGGTAGGCGACATCGATGTGTCGACGAGACTTCGAAGCGGCGACGAGACGATCACGAACATCCAGGGACATAATGGCCTTCTTCGCTTCCTCCCGAAGAGCGTGCTTGCGAGCGAAAGCCCCAGCTGGTGCGTCGGTGTCCACGGCCCCCCGGACCACATCACCCACACCGACCTCGTCGCAAGCGTCGTCTGAAAGCAAACTGCGCGGGAGACGGGGATTTTCGCCAAACACAAGCTGAAAGGGGGAAAACCCCCCCCTGTGAGTGTATCGGTTCTTCGCCCCCACAATCTCACACAAGAGGTCCTCCACTTCCTCCAGGGTCCCCGGGGACGCGCCCAGAGCAGCCCTCGTGAGCGCGGCCTTGACCAGACCGCCGTGCCTCTCGCACCGCCCGTTCTGGTGCGGACTCTCCGCGTCGCACACGTGCTGGTAGACTCCGTGATGTTCGAGGCTACGGCTGAATTGGCTCTCGAATTCTGACCCGCCGTCTGTCATGACAGTCTCCGGAAGCCCGAATGGGCGCACCCAAGCGCGCAAGAATCCTGACCAGACCTCGGAGGCAGTAGCTGCCTTCAAGACCGTGCACGACTGAAGGTTGCTGCCGTGATCTATGATGTTGAGGATCGGCCGCGTGGCGCCTAGAGCATTTATATAGAACAAGTCAGCCGCGACCAATTTATTGAACCTGTACGTCCGGGGGAGGGTGGCCTTGCGTCTCCAACCCGGGCGCGAAGTCTCCTTGCACGTCGGACACTCGAAGTGACGTGAGACCCAGCGGATCACCTCTGGCTTGGCTTTCGCAACCTTGAGCGCCCGCACGAACTGTTCCCGTCGAGGGTGTCCTAGATTCACGTGGACCTTCAAAATCTCGCTCTGCATTTCCTTCGAAACTTCCTCAGACGGGGGAGGGGGCTCACGACTGGCCCCTAAAGGCCGGGTCTCTTGCTCTTCCTCGTCACTGTCCTCGACAACATCCGCTGGATCAGGGTCTGCTGCGTCAACGGCAGCGGCTGCTGGGAAAGAAAAGGCCTGACCAGCCTTCGAGCGCAACCAAGCCTCACTCGCGGCCTGCTCGACTCCGTCAGCGAGGGCAGCCACCAGCATCGGCGGGTAGTTCTGAGCCGCCGCCGTCCTGGCCCCGCCCACCAGTTGAGAGTGCACGCGCCCCCCCTCGCAGATCTTAGAACATCTCCGGAGCAAGGGAGGACAGTTGGAGATGAACCTGGTTGGCTTCATGGCCAACTCTCCGTCCAGGGTCCTGAGGTTGAACCGACACTGGTCCCCGCGGACCGCCCCGACCCCAGGCTGTCTCAGAAGCTCCTGCGTCGAACTCAACTGCTGGGAGAAGGCTCCTAGAGGGTTTTCCAACCAGAAGAATCGGCCGTGCTGGATCTGGCACATGGCGACCTGGATGCAAAGACCCCAGTACATCAAGCACTCCCGCTCCACTCGAGCTCTCTCTTCCTGACTCATCTTGTGCCAGTTCGGCACTCGCGCGACACTGAAAGCCTTACAGGGGGGACTCATCAGAACGACGAGAGGTGCGTCTTTCTCAAGGACCTCCCAAAGCTTGGCCCTCTGAGAGGCCTGGCGAAGATCCCAACCTGTCGAGAGATCGACCGCGTGCGAGGCGAGATGCCCCCTACGCTCGATCTCCAGCGTGACGCGGGGAGGGGAGAAAAGCTCCAAAAGAAGGGTCCTGTTCTCGTGAACCTGAAGATGTCGCAGAGCCTTCCTTAGCTTTCGTTTGCCTGACCTGATCCCTGAGCCCATCAGTGTCCTAAGAGCTTCTTGCCTAACTTTCCGAGGCACGGTGGCCTCGGGAGACGCTAGCGGGACGCTAAGGCGGGAGCCTCGATCCAAGATGGCCCAGGACCCGGGGACGCTATCTAAGCTGGCGGCTGGTTCCTTCGAAACCCAGATCGTGACGTCGAGGTCGTTCGCTCGGTGTTCCTTGAGGGACTTCTGGAGGTCTGCTGCTGAGGCTCCGGCCCGCAGGACGTCCGCGAGGGTGACGTCTGGCCGAGATCCGGACGCTGAGGAGGTGACCCTGACTCTCTGGACCTCAGACCATGGACACTCTGGGCCGCTAGACCCTGAGGCCCTCATGGCCAGATATACCAACCATTCGAGCTTCTCCGAACGACTCGGCTGCCGCGACTCCCAGTCCATGACCCTCGCAATTTCGTCAAGTCCGACCGGCCTGCCAGAGGCCAGGTCCCAGACCCAGGAGCCCTGCATCTTAGAGGTGCACGGGAGACCCTCTCTCGGTCCCTCTCTGGACCAGGTTCTGAAGCTCTTGACGGTCCAGCTGCTGGGATCGTCCCCAACGGGAAGAAGGGCCCGAAGCTGCCGGATCTTCTCGGGACCGAGACTCGAAACCTCTAGGATGGACGATGACGACGATGATGACAGGCCCTTTTTACCAGCCCGGTCCGAGGCCCTAAGGCCATCGGGCTTCGAGCCGCTGGTCAGCCTAGCCGGCTGAGAAAGAGAAGAACTGAGCCTGCTGGAACCGCAGACTGCCTCGCACGAACTGGCTGTCCTCGTCTCCTCGTCTAGCGCTGGCCGCTGCCGCTGGACCCGCCGCCCAGGGTGCCCTTGAGCATCCGCATGAGCTCGTTGAAGTTCTCGGTCGTCTGCTGAAGGCTCCTCTCGGTCGCCTCCTGCGAGGCCCTCTGAGCGTGCATGAACTCCATGATCTCCTGGCGGTTGGCCTCCTGGTCCTGAAGCAAACGCGTCAGCGTGTCGCTGTGGCTGGCGTGGGAGTTCTGGTCCAAAGGCGACCTGGCCGGCGAGCCCTTGACCGCTGCTGGAGCGGGGGTCTTCCTGGCTGGCGGTGCTCCCGCCGGCGGCGCCTTCCAGGGCGGGCACTTTGACTCGATGGAGAGCGGACGAGACTGGCGACGAGGGTCCACCATCGTTGGGTAGTCCTGCTCGCTCGTCTCCACCAGGCCCTCGTCCTCCAGCTGCATCTTGACCTTGCTCTTGATCGTGTTCTGCTCGCTGACCTTGCCCCACTTCTTGCGTTCCTGATCGACCTTCCTCTGGACCTTGGCGTCGATCTGCTCCTCCTTCGTCTTGGCGTGGTAGCTGATCCTGGACAGGCAGAGCCTGCACCTGATCCAGCTCGCGTACTGGTTCGACCTCCGCTCGCGGTGCTCCGCTGGGTGGTGGCACAGCTCCGGGTCTGGCTTCCCCGTCGAGAGCGACGCGAGAGGCGCGAGGTAAGCCGTCGTGCGAGAGGCCACGCAGTAATTTAGTATCATCAGAAGCTTGAGAGCCCAGCGCCTCCAGGCCTGCTGATCCGGCGTGAAGAGAAAGCCCCCCTCCGCCAGAAGCTCCTTCTCGGTCTCGCTCATCTCGACCTCCGAGTAGTCGACGTGCTGGAGCTCGGTGTCGTGCCACGGATCCGGGGTCATGTCCCAATTGGCCTCGATCTCTGAGTCCTCGGGAACGTCCGGCAGATGGACTGGGTTCTGGCTCTCCGCGCCCCTGACCGTGGCCCTCGACCGCCCCACGAGGTAGCCCACGGTGCGAGCCCTGCCCGGCGTGCTCTTGCGGCCGAGCTGCTTCTCGACGCCTGTCGCTGACATGGCCTGGCACGGAGAGCTGAGTCGGACCACTGGAACGTGTAGGATCGTTGCTTGCACATGAGCTTGAGCCGGGAGCAGCTACGGAGAGGACGCTGGTTTCTGAACTCCCAAGACAGCCCACGAAAGTTGGTCCCGAGACACCCTCCACACTCACCGAGGACGAGGGAGAGGAGGAGAGGGACTGAGCGCATGCAGGCAAACTGCCCCGCCCGTCCTGAGAGGCCGCTTCGCCGCTCACCAGGAACTCCGTGTAGCCGATCCAGTAGTCAGGCATCGCGCCGATGAGGTCGTCGTGCTTCCAGTCGGTCTCGAAGTAGTGCTCCACGCTGACGCCGTTCTTGTCCTTGAACTGGCAGCACGTCGTCATCTGGCCCGTCAGCTCACTCAGCGCCCTCGGAAGATCCTTCAGAGCGCGGGGGTCGACCATCGTCCGCCGAGGGCGCACGTGTACCAGTCGAACCTTGTCCCCGAGGTCCTGCCAGTAGTCGCCTTCGGGCTTGTCGACCGTGAAGCTCGGAAACCTCTTGGCCAGCTCCGGGTCTAGCTTGAAATCTCTCGGGTCCCTGCCTATCAACGATATCGTCCGATGTCCTGACGGAAGCTTCGTCATCTGGATCTTGACACGCTCAGCGTTGCCGACTGTCATCTCGTCCTTCTGAAGATCGATATGAGCGTTCATGAACTCCAAGAAGCCTGCCGGCAGCAACGGAGGACAGGAATGTGGCAGCACCAAGAACTCGAGCACCCCGCACCTGTGAAAGCTCAGGGGAACGAGAGCCTTCGCCACCGGCTTCACCTTGCCTCCAACTCCGTTCGCGCTCGGCAGGTCGTCGCATCGGATGACGTGAACCCTGAAACCTTCCTGCTGGAATGCTCGTCGAAGTATCTGAAGATCTGGCTCACCGATCAGTGCCTGTGCGGCCGCCGTGTCCACGAGCGCATGGTCGCCCAGGTCTCTCAGCGTGAGCCCCGTGAAGGAGTCGCTCTCGGTGACCTCTGCCAGCACCTCCGCTAGCTGCTCCACGAAACTTGCCCACGAGGGCGTCGAGGTGCCGAACGAGTCGAACGAGAAGTAGAAGTCCTCCGATCCTCGGGGAGCCGTGCCGCTAGCCGTCGTCGTCTTCCTGCCAGAGCCCTCTGACTTCAACCTGTCGGCCTTCGATCGGTACGGCTTTTTGCAATCTTCACGCCAATGCCCCTTGTCACCACAGTTCGTGCAACGAGTGCGCCTCTTCAAGTCCTGCTTGGAAATTCTGCGAATCGTCTGCCGAGGGGGAGGAGGATGGTCACCACGTTTGCGATCAAAGAAATCTCTGTCTACCTTTCTAGCTGCCTTCAACTGCTTCGACTCTTTCCATGTGCGCCTCTTCGTCGCCGCCAGCTCGGCGTACACGTGGTACGCCTCGTCCTCGTACAAGTCCTTTTCCTCCAGAGTCGTCAAGAAAATCTCGGCCTCATCTTCTGGAAACTCCGTCTCGAAGATATCATACTCCTCATCCGATCGGCCGGCCTCGTCCTCGCACTCTTCTAGTACCGGGTAGCTCCTGGATCCGGTGGGCCGTGACTGGCCGGGCAGCATCGTCTTGTCGGACACGTCCATGGCCAGAATCGCCTTCCTCGTCGCCGAGGCTGACTCGTCACCCTGCATCAGCGTCTTCAGGTTGATGCGGTTCTGCGTGCTCAGCTGGGCGCCCTCTTCGTAGAACCTGGCCTTCACGTTGTCTGGCAGCGAGAGGCCCACGCGCTCGGCCGCCGCCAGCTGCTCGTCCCTTCTCAAAATAAAATTCGTCAAACTCTCACCCTTCCGAATCTGCACGTCGAAGAGGGCTGCTCCCTGTGCTTCCCTATCTTTGTCGCCGGGGCGCTCTCCATTCAACAATCGCAGATGACCGATAAGATTCTCGATGCCGTCTGCCTCATCCATCTCCGAGCGCACCAGCTTGAACTTCCCTTGCAGCTCGATCGAGAACCCCTCGATGATCTTCGCGGCCTGGCGTTCAGGAAGAACTCCTGTGCGCTTTGCCCACGAGCGCAGGTTGGCCGCATACAAGTCCACATGCTCGAGGCCTGGGAATGATGGCGGAGCCGAGAAATCCTTGGACCTCTCAGGCTGGCCCCTCCACTTGATCCCCTGGTCGTCGTCTCGGTCGCTGTGCCACCAGCTGCTCCATGCGCCACTCCACCATCCTGCTGTCCACTGGTCCTGCGCCCAGCGCCAGCCGTCCTTCCACCAGTCGTCTGCCTGCTCGGTCCCCTGCGCGCTCCGCGCCGGTCTCTCTGGTGTCGGAATGTCCTCCCAGCCTCCTTCTCGTGGCCCGTCACGTGCGGCGGGTTCCTCCTGGGATCTGGACGCTGCTCCTGGCGTCTGTGCCTGCCCCTCCGAGCCCGCTGCATCCACGCTCCGGCTACCATTGTTAGTGGAGTCGTCGGGCATGAAATCAACAAGGTGGGAGAGGGGGACACTCCGTTTTCAGTAGCTACGCCTCGGGAGCCCGAGGAGTCACTCTCATCCCGCCGCAAGCGGGCACTAAGCCTTAAAGGCTGATACGGGAACACATGCAATTACAAAGAGGGGTGGAGGGAAGAGGAGACACACCACACCCCCAAAGCTCCCTCGAGGCACCCTTAAAGCTCCCTCGAGGCCCCCTCGAGGCCTTTTCAAGGCCCCCTCGAAGCCCCCGAGGCCCTGCAGGCCCTCGGAACCCGGGCCCCGCTGCCCAAGGGCCCGGGGCAGCGGCGAGCGAGGCACCTGCGCCAGCCGCGCGCCGGGGGCGGTGGGAGGGAGCGGCCTCTCGTCGATGTCCCCGAGCGTCTCCTCGGGGGAGAGAAGGGAGGAGGAGGAGCAGCAGGAGGAGGAGGAGGAGCAGCAGGAGGAGGAGGAGGAGGAGGAGGAGGAGGACCAGTGTAAACCCAAGAGCCATCAACGATGTTGGAATACACCCTCGCTCCAAGCTCCCTCTTCATAGTCCCCTACAACGGCTCATGTCCATTAAGGGATCTGCTTCGTTGGAAAGACAACCGTTTGAAGACCCCGAAGCATGCCAAAACATTGTTCTCGGGGTTCCAACGCCACGGACCATCCTGACTGTTGCGCCTTGACGATCCTGGATCGTGCCAGAACGCCATTCTTGGGATTCCAACACCGCGAACCAACGTAACTGTTGCACCCGCAAAATCTTGAATCCTTCCAAAACGCCATTTCTGGTACGATGATCGCGGGAAGTCGTGAAAGTCTTGCAATTTGTATGAACGAATGTACGCGGCGCTAAGGCGAGAGCCACACTTTGAAACGGACCCGCCCTCAATATGTGAAACTCTTGCACGTGTTTAGAACGAATGCGGGCGACGCTAAGGCGAGAGCCACATTTCGAAAACGGGTGATCCTCAATCCGTGAAGCTCTTGCAATGTTTTCGAACGAATGTGTGCGGCGCTACAGTCGGGGCGTTGACCTAAGGAACCCTAAATAAGGAACGAGGCCCCTTTGTTTCCATAAGTTAACCTTCGATCTCCTGTGGAAAAACACAAGGAAAGCCTGAGGCAAGCTGTGAAACACTTAAGGAACGCGGAGCCCCTCCCCAACGAAAAGGGTTCCTTATTCAGGGCCCCGACTGTACTGCGAGAGCCACGTGCTGAAAACCACCCGCCGTCCATCTGTGAAGCTGGCAACTTTTAAGCTTCAGAGTCATACATGACGAGGAAGTCTCAGGCGAAACGCCCGGCCCGCCTCAACAACTGGCCTCGGGGTGCGACAGGGAGAAGTTATGTATAAGGCAAAGGAATGGAGGAGGAGGAGGAGGAGGAGGAGGAAACGGAGGAGGAGGAGGAGCATAAGGATAAGGATAAGGCCGCAGGGGGCCTGTGTCTCAAGCCACAAGGAGCTCACAAACACTTCGCACTCTGACCCCTGGGTGATCTGCGTGGAAACGGGCCTCCTGGATCGGTGTCCATCCTGGGGGCCTGCCTGAGAGTGCCCCAGTCCCTGGTTGACCCCAGGTGCTGGACTCCAGGGGCTCTGCTCCCTGGCCTCCCCGGGCCCGCCCGCGCGCGGTGGCCCGGCGTGCCTAGGCGCGCCTGCTCGGCCTGAGCCTCATGCCGAGTCCATAGCGCCCGTGCTCACAGTGCCAAGTATTAGCGGCGCGCAGAGGGGGGGGGGGGGGGGGAAGGCTTCGAAGGGGGGCTGCTTCTTAGAAGGCGCTGGCCTCACATGTATAGAGAAGGCCCGTGCCTTCTAAGAAGCAGGGATGCTTCTAAGAAGCCGTCCCCCCTAACCCCACCCCCCTCTGCGCGTGGCCGAAAAACAGCATGTCAGAAGCATACAGCCGGCTACACGCAAGGAGTGACCCTGGGTAAGAGTGGCCTTTGGTGCGCGGCTTTCTGGGGGGCGCGGGGAGACCAAGCCTGGGCGCGCAAGCCGCTGCTGCCGCTTCGTCTTCAGCCATCTGAGGGCCCATCTCTGCCCGCACCAGAAGGTCACTCCGGCGAAAGGTCACTCTGACATCTAGTCGATACAGTAGGAGCTCGACCACAAGAAACCTTCCCCGAGAAACCCAACCCGTTGTGGGTATGGGAATGTCACGCTTCCCTTCGCAAAGCCATCGGAATCCAAGAGACCCAGGGCACAATGGAGGGTGTTTCTTGGCACGGGTTTCCACTTTAAGCTGTCGGAGCTCGGCGCGGATATCTTGGAACGGCGCTGGACCCCTCGTTTGTTGGCCGAGTGTCGCCATGCAGTGGCACGTTGCGGAAGCCATCAGGGCGCCTTGCTGGCGTGCGTCCCCGGGCACGAAGGGCCTCATCGAAGTTGGCATGCTCAGTCCGAGGGGGCTGGCACAGTACACGTCGGTCGGAAGAAGTAGGTCGAAACATGAAGTAGGAAGGCGGATATAGTGAATTGGGTCCAGGTCCTCCCAGAGAATAACAAAACATAGCAAAACCATGCCGATTCTTGAAGTAGGAAGGCGCTTGAAGTAGATTGGGATCTGGGAATCCAGAATACCTACTTTCAACGACCGGCGAGTATGCTTGCAAGTCGTTGGTAAACAAGAGTGTAGAGGGCGCACCCTCCCCGGATCTTGGACGAAATGATTGTCTCAATGCGAGCGTGCTTTCTCGATCTCAACCTCTGGGGGCTCCTTCTCGGGCCCTGGGGCCATGAAAAATGGATCCGAGGCGAGAAACTACTCAAGGAGCAGGGGTCGGCACTGCTGCTGGCGCGGATTAGAAAATAGATCGTTGACTGTCTGGGGAAAGGAGGGGAAAGCGGGCCAACACTCCCGCTCCTGGGCCCCCATCCCGTCGTGGCCGTTGCTGTCGTTGTAATCGTCGTCGCCGTGGTCCTCCTCCTCGTCCCTGCCTCTTCCTCCTCTCCGTCCTCTTTGTCCTCTTTGTCCTCTTTGTCCTCCTCACGCAGGCTCGTGCCGTGACGACTTCGGCGTTGGCTTCTGATGCCGCGTGGATCGTTCAGCCTTGATCGATCGACGGCCCTTCGATCGCCAGGTCGCTCCATGTTGGCCGATTCCGGGCCACTGGCAGCGCTCAAACTTGAGCGCCTGCGCTGGGGGGTCGCCGCCCGGTCGACACGAAGCAAACCTGCTTCACGCCCAGGCCTCCTCGCGCCGCGCGGAGATCACGACGGGGCCTCCCCTCGGCGTAGAGAGATCACGGCGGGAGGCTCTGGGCCACTTCTGTCGGGAGCGTCCAAGAGGGGGGCGTCCAAGAGGGGGGTGGGTGCAAATCATGGCCGGCGGCATGTGCGCGGCCCAGGGGGGGGCGGGGACGTAATGAAATAAGAAGAGGCGCCATGGCCCCCGCCATGATATCCACCCCCCCCAGTCATCATCCCCCTCTTTGCCGCCCCCGATTCTGGTCGCCGCGAGATCTCGCAAAGGCCTGGGGCTGGTCGCTTCCAACGTGCGGCCCTCGCCGGAGCGCCGCGAACGCTCGTTTTTGATGGGCCTGTGTTCCACCACCACCATCACCATAAGTTGGATGGGGGGAAGGAGGTGGACGAAGAGGAGGAGGAGGAGAAAGAGAAGGAGGAGGAGGAAGACCCCCTCACACTCCAACTTATGGTGGTGGTGGTGGAGAACAGGCCCATCAGTTTCGAAAGACAGCGGCTGCAAAGGTGGAGGGCTGGGGGCTTCCACCGTGGCACCAAAGTGCGGCCCTCGCCTTCGCGCCGCGAGCACTCCTCTTCCACGAAGTCTTGCGGGCGAAAGCTTGTAGGGGAGCTCGACTTCAAAATGGGGCTCTCGATCTAGCGCTGCGCACACCAGTCTTCAAACAGACGTAGACACTTGTGCCCAAGAAGCGGCTGCACGGATGGAGGGCTGCTCCTTCTCGGCATGGGGTTCCCGCGCGAGACGTTCGCGTGCGTCGATCGCCCGAGATCATCGCAAAAGGCACCCGGGTGGAGGGCGGCCCCATGTTGGCGGCGCGCCGACGGGGGTAGAGGGAGGGGGAAACCCTCGTTGGAAGAAGGCTGCTTCTTAGCAGGCACTGGCCCCGCACATCTAGAGGAGGCCCGCGGCTTCTAAGCAGCAGGGGTGATGATATGAGGAATCCCCTTCTCCCCCTGCCCTCCTTCTGCGAGTGGCAGACCAGGGATATCGCTTGAGACTTCCTCGAGCTCAGGGACAAGATCTGTGCCAGTGTGCAGCACATACATGGACGGAGTGCACACCACTTTCAAACGGGAGCACTGGTTTGACATCCCCGTGAGCTTTATGACCCTGCCTCCTCGTATTGTTTTCAGCTGTGAAAAAATGGAAGGCGGTCCCGCTACAGAACGGGTCTCCCCTGAATGGCAGGCCCACGGGGCATTCTTCTGTGAACGGGGACGCTTCCCGCAGCGTCCAGGATTCAGTGCAGGAACTCGTGGTGACCTGTGACCAGTAAGAACTTCCGGTGAGGCGACTGGGGACGGGAGGGCTGTGCTGCAGCTGCTCTCTCCTCTGTCCTCTCTCCTCTTCCTCCTCCTCCTCCTCCTCCTCCTCCTCCTCCTCCTCTCTCCTCCTCCTCCTCCTCCTCCTCCTCCTCCTCCTCCTCCTCCCTCCTCCTCCTCCTCCTCCTCTCCTCCTCCTCCTCCTCCTCCTCCTCTCTCCTCCTCTCCTCCTCCTCCTCCTCCTCCTCCCTCCTCCTCCTCCTCCTCCTCCTCCTCCCTCCCTCCTCCTCCTCCTCCTCCTCCTCCTCCTCCTCCTCCTCCTCCTCCTCCTCCTCCTCCTCCTCCTCTCCTCCTCCTCCCCTCCTCCTCCTCCTCCTCCTCCTCCTCCTCCTCCTCCTCCTCCTCCTCCTCCTCCTCCTCCTCTCCTCCTCCTCCTCCTCCTCCTCCTCCTCCCTCTTATCACCATCAACAACAGCAACAGCATTATGACCAGCATCGTCATCATCACTATCACCACCAGTACCAGAATCAGCATCATCATCGTCGTCATCATCATCAGCATCACCGTTAGCATATCCACCATCCATTATCACCAGCATCGTGGTCATGATCATGATGAGCATCAGCATCATCATCATCAGCAGCAGCAGCACCATCATCATCATCATCAACAGCATCATCATCACCACCATCATCATCATCATCAGCATCATCATCATCAGCATCATCATCAGCATCATCATCGTCATCATCATCATCAATCATTAAATCAATCAATCAATCAATCAATCAATCGCCTAATTAATCAATAGCTCCACGGGAGGCGGTCCCTGCAAGGACATCCTCAAAGACCAGGGCCTCGGAGCATCGCAAAAGCGAGCGGATATGATGCGCTCCCGAGGCCAGGCCACGCGGGTCCAGGCCCGCGCTGCCTCCATGCAGGGCGGCCCACCCGTTACGGCACGTCATCGTCATCGTCATCATCATCGTCACACTCCACTTCGGAGGACCGCATCCTCATCGTCATCGTCATCGCCATCGTCATCATCATCAGCATCATCACCATCAGCAGCAGCAGCATCAGCATCAGCATCAGCATCTGCATCAGCATCATCAGCAGCATTAGCATCAGCATTTGCATCAGCATCAGCATCAGCATCCTCATCAATACATTCATACATCATCAACAGCATCAAGATCATCATCATCAGCAGCAGCATCACCATCATCATCGTCCTCCTCATCCTCATCATGATGATCATCATCATCAGCATCATCATCATCAGCAGCATCATCAGCATCATCATCGTCGTCATCATCATCAGCATCATCATCATCAGTATCATCAGCATCATTACAATCGTCAGCATCATCATCATCATCATCATCATCATCACCAGCAGCATCATCAGCATCAACATCTTCATCAGCATCATCATCATCACCACCATCGTCATCATCAGCATCATCATCATTAACAGCATCAGCATCATCAGCACCAGCACCATTACCATCATCATCAGCAGCATCAGCATCGTCATCAGCACCATCATCATCAGCAGCAGCATCACCATCATCGCCATCATCATCAGCAGCAGCATCATCATTGTCATCCTCAACATCCCACTCCTCCTCCGCCTCCTCCTCCTCGTCTTCCCCCTCCACTCATTCCTATTCCTCTTCCTATGCATCGTCCTCCTCTGTTGCTCCCCGTCCTGCCGTCCCGCCGCCTGGCCAGCCCCCACAAGGAATCCTCCCAGAACTTCGACATCTCGACGTCTTCCTGCGCGACCTTCTGCCTCGTCGGCAACGCCACCGCCGCGGGTCGGAATGGTCGGTCGGTCAGCGTCGTTCCCAGGGAGGGGAGGAAGGAGGGGGAGGAGAAGGAGGTGGAGCGTACACAGTGGAGGAGGAGGAGGAGGAGGAGGAAGAGGATCAGGAGGAAGAGGAGGAGGAGGAGGCGGAGGAGGAGGAGGAGAGGGAGGACGAGAAGGAGGTACTAGGTTGAGGAGGAGGAGGAGGAGAAAGAGGAGGAGACCCGCCGTTCGGTAGTTCCCTTGCTTCCCCTCTTAGCCTCTTGCTTTCTCTTGCCTTCCCCCGGCGCAAGCGGGGAAGAGGGGGATCGAGGGCGCCAGTACCTAAGTATAGCACCGTCTGCAACCTGCGCCTTAGGATGATGAAGAGGAAGAAAAATATGCAAAGCGTCGAATTCTGTGGGGGACGAGGAAAAAGAGGAAGAGGAAGAGGAAGAGAAGGAGGAGGAGGAGGAGGACGGCGAGGAGGAGAAAGTGGAGAAGAAGGGCTCCTCGTGCACTGGCTGGCGTTTCCATCGCATAGATTCTCCTTGCAAAAGAAGGATAGAGTCGACCACCGTCCCCGACGGAGTCATCGACACACCCTGGGAGAATACAATGTACATACGACCCTGCCCCATCGCACATCCTCAATATGGAACATTCCATCCCGAGCCAAACGATACCGACACTTTATCTCACCCCTGTCAGATGACATGTCCAAAAACAAAAACTTGAAACAACAACTAACCATGCGCGCACATGCCGACGCCATACCCAACCTACCAGTTCCGCCAAAATGCCCAATTGCTGAAATTATACGACACCCTCTTGAATTTAGCAATCCCATGCAGAAAACGAACTCAAATCTCACTACGCGGTGCATCCGCGTTGACCCAGCACGCGCCCAGCACACGATCCCGAATCAAATCTGCCGACTCTTCAGCGTGTGTGAGACGCTGTCGTCGTCTCCGTCGTCGTCGCCAGGCCCAAGTAAATTTAGGAAAGAACCGAAAAAAGAAACGCCGTAGTTCAGTCGACTCCCTTCCCTGTTTCCCTTCCCTGTCCCGGGTCAGTATGCCGCCGCCCGGGGGTCCGGGCGGGCCCCAGGGGGGTCCCACCTCTGGACAAGGGTGACAGGGAGGGGCTCCACATGTGGGAGGGGGCCGGCCCTGGCCCTGGGCCTGGCCCCCGGCCAGGCCTCGGCGGTGGCCCTGGGGTCCCAGGACCCTGACCTTCCAGAGAGCTATTTTTGAGCACGGGAGGCCTAAAAACCTAAAAAACGAAACGAAACAGCCTTAAACCAAGACGTAGAATAGCTCTGGGATAAAATTTTAGGTCGCGTGCTATTTTTTAGCCCTCCTGGAAAGTCAGGGGAGGGGGCCCCCCGGGTCCCGCAGGAGGCCGCGACTACAGGGTCGGCGGCACCGGCCGCAAGGACACACGATGATTCCATGCTGGCCACACGCACGCGCCACCACGCGCGCGTGTCGAAACCTTTATTGAACCACTTCTTTTTTTTGTTTGCGAACGTTGCGTTTCGGCAACGTTCGCAGGACAGGCATGCGACGGACTGTTAGTACATTGCCAGCACGCTTGGCGAGGCGAGTTATGTACATGATCGAGGTCCGCACCCATCTCCTGCTCCTTTTTTGAATCATTTGTGTTCGAAACATAAAAGATCAGACCTATGAGAACCAACATGCTTCTCTGAAAAAACAAGGCTCCTTGCATGTCCGCGCGCGCACTTCCTCACCATCACCCTCACATCAAAGGAACTTTAAGAAAAACACATCATACATATGATAATCAAACTGCTTCTCGGAAAAATGAGGCTCCTGGCATGTCCCCGCGCGCGCACTTCCTCGCCATCCCCCTCATCAGCGCCGCCGCATCACCGCCGTTATCGTCATCGTCAGGCGCTGGCGTTGCCGCCATCATCAGCCATCATCAGCCAATCACCTTCGTCACCGACACATGGACACCATCATAATCATCATCATCATCATCATCATCATCATCATCATCATCATCATCATCATCATCATCATCATCATCATCATCGTCATCGTCATCGTCGTCACCAGCCTTGGCACCGTCCTTGGCCTCGCCGTTTTCATCGTCATGTGTTGCCGACGTCATCCTGATATCGCGCCCGCCCGAGTCGCCGACACGCACTGAAGCGCCCGCGTGCCATCGCGGTATTGAAAACGCGCTGTGGAATTCCGATCGGTTAGTGCCATCGCGGACGCATCAGTTGCGCCAGACTAGCTAGTCGCTCTGCGCGCGAGCGTGCGCGCGCGCCAGCGCGGCCGTAGAGACACGGTAGCAAACTCCAATCAAGAACCGCAGTCGCGGCCGAATGGATGTTGCCACAGGAGTTGAGGGTGGGAGGGCGGGATGTTTGCGCGAGCGATGGAATTGACGACTTCAAGAGGGTCGACGGTAATCGCACCCCATAAGTTGCGCCCGTATTCGCCACAGTGCCCCCTGGCACGTAAACGCATGCAGAAACGCCAAAATGCTGTCTGGTAGGTTCTGTAAATCTTCAAGGTGGGGGCCTCCTTCCACTCGCGCCCACCTGCATGCAGCGCTGCCCCCCCGCCCCCCTCCTTGTGAGAAACGCTGGCCTGCACTCCCGAAGCCGCGACCCCTCGTAACACCAGTGGGCCCGCACCCCTGAAGCAACGATCCCTTGTACAGATCGGGTGTTGCTAGAAGTGCCCCTGGCCCAAGGTGCCCCCAGATTTTCGTTCCGTTTTGAAGCCCCTGGGGCCCTCTGGGCCTCGTGAGGGGTGCCCTGGGGGCCGCCTGGGCCACCCCGAGAATCCTGGGGGTACCTTGGGCCAGGGGTACTTCTAGCAACACCCGAACAGAAACGACGGGCCGCGCTTCCGAGGCCACGATCCCGTGTAGAAAAAGAAAGGCCCGCGTCCCTGACGACGCGTTGTCGTGAGAGGCTGTGGGCCCGCGCCCCCGAGCTTCCAAGGCGGCCGAGGCGGGCAATCCAGGCCGCCAAGATGGCATGGGGGTGCCTCCAAGCCAGCACAGGACGGCCCCAAGACGCCTCAAGCTGGCCACGAGACGGCCCAAGAGGCCCGCAAGACTGCCCAAGGAGGCCAAAAGAGGAACCCCAGCTGTGCCAGAACAAGGATCACACACACACAGATACATATATATATATATATATATATATATATATATATATAGCCCGCCCTGCTTCAAGGAGTGCCAGAACAGAAATGATGACAGCAACCGACGTGACCGACGATGGGCACCCGCTTCTTCTTCATCATATGTGTGAAGCACGAGCCAGGCGCCGGCAAGATGGACTGCCGGGACGAGAGGTACAAGCATTGACCACCGAAACGTGTAGCAAGCGAGGCACATACAGATGAGGTCCCAAAGAAGGGGGACGAAATCAAAGGATTCAAGTGAGGGCGGCATGTGGGTGGGTGCACTTGAGCACAGATGCCAGCGGCAAGCACGGGCTGGCATTCGGAAGTGCGGCACTCTCAACCCAGGGCTCTGCATTACGTTGTGAAAACTGCCCAGCCCGCCCTGATTCAACGAGTGCCAGAACAGAAATGATGACAGCAACCGACGTGACCGACGATGGGCACCCGCTTCTTCTTCATCATATGTGTGAAGCACGAGCCAGGCGCCGGCAAGATGGACTGCCGGGACGAGAGGTACAGGCATTGACCACCGAAACGTGTAGCAAGCGAGGCACATACAGATGAGGTCCCAAACCCCATGCGGAAGAGCTGGCCAGGGAGCTGTAGCGACAGGGCTGAAAAATTGTATAAGGCAGTTCGAAGAGATTAAGACGGCGACTTGCATATTAAGTCTGCCATGGCCTGCCTAGGCCTTTGCAACGCAGCGCCCCTGACAATTTTAGCCAACACCGTGCAGGGTCCAGCGGGGTAGGCGGCAGCCAGCGCGGTGTATTTACAGCCCTCAGAGGCCTGGCCAATGAGAATTGCGTGCCTGTTGCCGGTGCGAGAGCAAATCCCCCTGCGGCCCTGACAGAGCCGATCAAGCCCAAAAAGCGGCCCTGTTTGCCAAGCCACGATCCTGGTGCGCTTTTGCCAGGAGGTCCCGAATTGGCATTGATCAAAATCGCACGCGCGGGCGTTCTTTGAAATAATGAGGGACGCAAGCGGCTTGGCATGCCACATCAAAGAGCTAGCGGGATTTTCAAGTAGCACGGGTATGTTAAGCATGCAACACAAACGGGTGATGCGGCATGTGAAATAGAAGGAAGCGCTGCCTGCGGCCAACCTCAAGGCCTCAGAGGTCAAGAGGCTGTCGATGCCCATGGCCTGGGGGCGTGTCCTGAGCGGCTCCCGAAGGGCCCGTGACCACGTCGTGCGCGGCGTGCCGAGGAAGACTGCCGCGACTGCGCGGCTGCGGAGCCAGCCGGTCACTACCCGTTCGAAGTCACGGCAGAGGTGGTCTTCCAGCGGCGAATGTCGCACGTCCAAGGCGAGCGCCGAGAGGCCCAGTCGGCGGGCGGCTGCCGTGAAATGCCCGCCCCCGCTGAAGAGCTCCAGCACGACGCGCCGCCGGCGCCAGGAGACGCGGCTGACGGCAGCTCTAAAACGTCGCCGCAGGTGATCGGCACGCCCCGAGCTCCGCAAGGGCGGCTGGGCCCGCCCGGCGATGACGCCAGCGGGCCCGCCCGAAGGGCTGGCCGCGCTCAGGCGCGGCCCGGCGGTCGCCGCCTCACCCGCCTGGGCTTGCTGCCTAGCCCGGACAGGACCGAGGTCGCCAGGCCGGCTGGGATGAGCTGCTGCAGCCCGGCGCCGAGGAAGCCCTTCTCGACCAGAAGGCAAAAGTGCTGCGCGATCAAGTCGCCGAAGGCGCACACGTCTGGGTGGACCCCCTGCAGCTCGCGCAAGAAGGCCGTCTCTTTGGCGTGCCGTCTCATTGACGATGGCGCAGCCCAGCGCTCTCGTCGGTAGACTTGTTCTTGCGATCTCCGCTGGGTCAGCAAATCGTTGCTCACTCCGCCGTGGCGCATGCCGCACAGGCGAGGCCGCAACTGGGATATCCCCAGCGCCGCAGCTGCCAGAGCGAACATCCTGTTCAGCTCTGAGAGGGAGAAGCTCCACAGCGGTGTCCCTGGACCCCCTCTGCAACGGAGGGCCATGAGCACTGGTACCAGGTACAGGTCGAGGTCGAAGAGGATAGACTCGTCGAAGGAGCCCGTCTTGCCTGCCTGACCGCGGTCCGCCGGGCCCAGCAGCAGGCCCCAAAACTGGTATGCTGCCCCTGCCAGAGCTGACGGCTGTGCGATGCTGTCCGCCGTGAGTCGCCGAGCCTCGGCGGGCCTGAGGTACGCCGAGAACGCGATCGCCAGCCGCGCCGCCATGGGCGCTTGCTGCCGCGCAATCATGACGCCAGCCAGCGCGAACATGACCGCCCGAAGGATCGGCAACCGAGTGAGGGTTGGGGTCCGTCTCCGCCACGCCTGCATCGCTCGAAAGGCGTGGGGCAGGAGCGAACTCACCTGCCTCGGGAGACCGGGAATGAAATGAGCCAGCGCCGCGACCGTCTGCGACCCGACGCTCGCCGCCGCCCCCGAGATGCACCGCGAGGTGAAGTACTCGGCGAGCAGGTTGTCTAGCTCGCTCAGGTTCCCCCAGTCCCGGCGGCGGTCTGAGCAGTACGCGACGAACGTCTGCAGGAGCTGGCGATAGGCCCTCCGCGGTCGGCCGCGCCGCCAGCTGCTCCAGGAGCGCCAGGGAGCCCGCAAGCGTCCGCCCGCGTGCCGCAGCCGACGCCAGCTTCGCGCGGTGGCGCGTCCGGGCTGAGGGCGCAGGCCCCGTCCGCCGCGGCGCGGCCCGCACCTCGAGCAGGGGCCCGAAGAGCAGCGCGAGTACCGCGGCGCCCATGGCGGGCCCTCGCATGGCTGAGCTGACGGGTCGTTGAACCAGCCGAGCTTCCCTCGGCTGAGGGCATCAGCTGGGCTACGCTCTGAGGCAATCCAGCGCACGAAGAGCTTCGAGCCCGTGGCGAGCGACAAAGCACACAACTGGTTCAGGCACGACCTCAAATGTAATGACCGAGCCCTCCCCTTCGCGCAAGCGAGAGCTAGCGGGAGGTTGTCGACGAGTGCCACCAAGCGAGCCCCATGAGCGCCCAGACTGCGGAGCTGATGCCGATACGATGTGACCAGCGCCCCCCCCTCCAGGTAGAGTATGTTGGCCCCCGTGGAGACCGACTGGGCTGATACCGAGCTCCAAGCGCCCTCCCGAGTAATATGACCAGGGGTCTCGTCCATCTCCCAACGGTCGCCCAAGACCGCAGCATTATGAACCCAAGAGGCGCCACTGGGAGGCTGAGCGAGCACCTCGTTGACCCCCATGAGCTCCTCGTAGGGGTCCCCGTGCTGGCCCATGGAGTAGTAGGGGTCCTCGTGCTGGCATGCGAGCTCCGCGCGAGGGTCCACGCGCAGGCCCATGAGCTTCCGGCGAGGGTCCTCGTGTCGGGCTAGCCGATCACAGCGGTCCTTGAGCGTGCCCGACAGCGGCGGACATGCAGGGAAACCCGCAGGGCTGTCATGTTGGATGTCTGGCTTCAATCGCTCCGAGGTAGGATGACAGTCAGCAATGGCGGCATTTTCTCGCACAGGGCTGAGCTGGTCTAGACCGCCCTCTCGCAGTGACCGAAGGCGGGCCTGGTGCCCGCCCTCAACTTTGAACCTCCACCTCTCTGAACAACGGCCAATGGCGGCACAGGCGGGGCGCGGGGCGCGGCGGCGCATCACCCCGAGCCCGAAAGGAGAGGCATCGCTGGCAGTCATCGTGCGATGCCAGCTCGAGGCGAGGTCGCATGACAAGAGAGGAAGCAGGTCTCGAATAGCGACCAGCTCCTTCGCCGCCGACGGCCATATCCTGCCCTGCCTCTCGCCGCAAGCCGCCACGAAGCTGTAAACGCTATGGAGAACTGCGAGGGCCTCGCGGCGTATCATCGATGACCAGGTGACGTGCCCCAGCACTGCCCGCATCATGTCGCCACTGCACCAGCCTCGGCGAAGAAGCCCAGAGATCGCCGCGTGCAGCCGCCAGATGTTACGAGGCTTGATGCGCAAAAACCTTCCGTGCTTCAGGCTGAGACCCAAGAAGTCCGCGTCCAAGGCGGCAGGCTCGATCTCGTGCACGGGTATCCCAGGGGCGCGAAAGGCCGACACAAGCTGCGCCATGACCCGGTCGACCGCGCTCATGTCAGCGCCGAACGCCAAGATGTTGTCGACGTAGGCGCCGACGCCAACGGTGACGGGGTCCGTGGCCACAACGCCCGGCTGGCCGTCCAGCGCGGTCATGACCCCCTCACGTCCGCTCGCAGCTAGGACTGCGCGCGCTGCAGACTGGCAGAAGTGCAGCGCCCACGAGAAGCCCATCGGGAGAACGGTGACCATGGGCGTCACGCGCGCGGACGGATCGAAGTCCCGGTCGATCATGCCCATCTCCTGTAGCATGGCCACAGAGATAGAAGGTAAGGTAAACATGGACTCCATCCCGCAGGGCAGCCGCATGTGGTACAAAGCGCACTCCAGGTCGCACGTTGAGATGAACATGCCATTTGCAGGGGCCTCGATGGACCCAAACGACGAAGCCGAAGGAAGCCTGGTAGCTGGTGAATCCCAAAAACTTGCAGTTGGCGGCCCTCGTGTCGAAGATGATTCGGAGGGCCCCCGACTTCTTGGGGACGAAAAAGAAGCAGACGGAGTGCGGGGGGCCGTTGTCCCCCCACGAAGGTGACCATCTGCCTCTGGTACATCTGAATCAACAACTCGCCGTAGATACTCGCATCACGAACCAGGCTCGGGTCGCAGCAAGGCCCGCGTGGGCAGGCAGCCTGCGCCAGGGCCTCGGCGGCGCGCCGATCTCGAAGCATATGGCTCCGCCATCCCTCCAGCCATGCCCTGTCCTGAGGCTGCGCAAGGTCGATCAGGTCGACGGGCGCAGCACTACCAGCGGGCCATGCGACTCGATCGCGGACGCATGGAGATGGCGAGGCGGCGCCAGACCCGTACAGGTTGGCGCAGGAGAGGAGCTCGCGGAGGGCTCCGTCTTGAGCAGCACGGTTGTCGGTGAACTCGGGCGGCGGTGATCCCAGCTCCCTGATGCTGTTCTCGATGTGCACGCACGATGGTTTGGCGCTGCCCCTCATGTGCCGGAGCAGTGGGCGAGGACTCAAAGCCATAGAGTGAATTCAGTGCATTGGTGGCGGCCCGCACGCGGTCCTCACGATGGGCTCGAAGACCGCCGCGCCGTGCTGAGCGGCGGCCGACAGGCCCCACCCCTCGCGGAGCTGCAGCCGGCGAGATCGGCAGCGGGAAGATGTCGCGCTGGCGACCGGCTCCCAGCGGCCGAGGGCCCGCGGTCTGAGCCGCACTGCTGTCCCAGGGAGGGGCTGGCCCATCTGCCCCCCCCCCCCGGCTCGTCTCAGGCACCCCCGCTGGGGGCTCCGCCGCCCCCGCGGCCTCGACGTCCACGGGCGCGACCGCCACGACCGCGGCCGCCGCGCCCGTCACCACCGCCCGAACCAGCAGCGCCAGTCCCAGCAGCCATCGCACGCTCCTCCCGCGCCTTGCGCCTCTCCTTGGCGATGGCGGCCTCGCGAGACTTCTCGGCCGCTAGCCAGTCGCGAAGCGCAGGTGCCATGCAGATGCTGCCGCCGGCGTCCTGGACGCCCGAGAGCAGGGCAGCGTCGTTGCCGTGCTCGGAGGACGGCGCAAACCTGTCTCGGTAGAGCTCCTCCTGGGTCTGCAAGGTGCGGCCGACCAACTCCATGGAGGCCAAATTCGTCGCATGAACCTGATCATACACCACGCTGTACTCGAGCAGCCGGCAGCACAGAAGATGCACGTCGACGCCTCGGCCTTCCACTTCAGATGCCGTCCGAGCGGCGTACCTCCATTGCGGCATATATAGTTCAGCACACACAGCAGAGTACGCGGGCCCTTGAGGGGCCAGTCGGCCCACTGCAACTCGTGCATACGCAGCACCGCAGCCCTGAAGTCAATGTAGCGAACCCCCTGTGGATCCAGGGTGACTGCCTGCATCCTCGCGTCGCCACCTGGGGCTGCCGCAACCGCTGCGAGGGCGTTCGCCAGGCCGCCCGCGCCCAGCCCCGGCGCAGCGGGTGCTCCAGCCAAGGCGCCCGGCGGGGCGGCGGCTGGGGCAGCCCCAGCGGCAGGGCCTGCGGCCGGAGGGGCGCCCACTGCTGGCGCCGCGGCCATCGGCGCCAGGGCGCCACCCGGCGCGGCCGCCGCGGGCGCCGGGGCGGGCACCAAGGCGCCGCCGGCGCCTCCACCACCAGCGGCCTCCCCCGCCCCAGGCGCCCCCCCGCCGAGCGCCGCTGCGAGCCCTGCCAAGCCCCCGGCCGCTGGGCCGCCTACCGCGCCTCCGGCGGCGGGAGCAACCGCTGCGACGCCGACGCCGACGATGACGCGACCGGCGGTGTTCAAGGCGACAGGGGGGCCTGGGGCCAGGCCGAGTGACGCTCGGGTGGTGCTGGCGGCGTCCGCCACGGAGGCGGGCAAGGGCAGCGCCCGGAAGCGGTACACCTGATCGGCGCCTGTCGCTGCCGAGGCACCCCCCGCGGCACCCCCCGCGGGGACACGGAAGTCGGCGACGTCAATGCCGCCGGTGGTGATTGCCTCGACGTACCCGTGCCCGTCCGGCGTCAGGATGCCCGCGCCGAAGGGGGGGGGGGGGCCTGGAAAGCCAGGAGGGGGCGCTCATGCCAGATCCGCGCTCCACCCACCTGGGACCTGATCAGCACGAAGTCGCCCTCGTCCAGCCCGAGGATGGCGAGGGGATGGCCTGCGGCGGCCGCGGCTGCCGCGGACAGGGTCACTGGCTCTGCAGCCGCGCCCTCACGAGGGCGACCTGCGCACGGGCCTCCTCCTCGAGCCTCTCGACTCGGCGGGTCGTTTGGATCGGCGCCGCTGGCACGAGCAGCCGCCCAAGGGCCGCGCCTGCTCCAACCCCGCGCACCAGGGCTAGCAGCACGGCGGACAACGGCCAGGCCCCCGTCGGCGTCGGGCAATCCAGCCTCAGGGCCTCCTGCCCCGTGCCGCATACCAGCGATGGCTTGCACGTGCACGGCGGGCACTCAGTCCGAGCCGCCCACAGGAGAGACCCCTGCGACACGGTGTGCAGGGCCTCCTGCGCGAGCCATCCGCCGAAGCTCATCGAACGGCCTTCCTCAATGCAATTGAGCACAGATGCCAGCGGCAAGCACGGGCTGGCATTCGGAAGTGCGGCACTCTCAACCCAGGGCTCTGCATTACGTGGTGAAAACTGTCCATATATACATACATACATACATACATACATACATACATACATACATACATACATACATACATACATACATACATACATACGTACGTACGTACGTACGTACGTACGTACATACGTATATATATATATATATATATATATATATATATATATACATACATATATATATATATATATATGTGTGTGTGTGTGCGTGTGTGATCCCAGGTCGACGGTTCACAGGCCTTCCCCCCGGATGGGATGGGTCCCAGGGGTCCACAGGCCACACCCCCCAGATGAGATGGGGGAGGACGACGACGCCGACGCCAACGCCGACGCCGCAGCCGACGCCGAGGACGACGACGGACGACGACGACGGCGACGACGCCGACGCCGATGCCGACGCCAACGCCGGCGCCGACGCCGACGCCGACGGCCGACGGACGACGGACGGCGGAAGACCGACGACTGGCACGACGACGACGACGACGATGACGACGACGACGACGACGCCGACGGCCGACGGACGACGGACGGCGGAAGACTGACGACTGGCACGACGACGACGACGACGACGACGGCGACGACGACGCCGACGAACCACACCACACCCACGAGGGGAGGGCGGGAGGTGCATTGGCACCCTCCATCGCGCCACGCTATGCATTTGGGGGGGAGTTGGGGGGGGAGGGGAAGGGCAACCCTGGGTAATGTATTGCCGTTGGGTGTTGGAAAGATGTGGGCGTCCTCACCTGCTCACGCTTCCTTCCGTTCCAGAAGTCCCGGGGGCCCCCAAGATGGTCCCAACGCTGCCCAGAACAACCCCAACATGGCCAAACAAACCTCGAAAACGGCATCAAGACAGCCCCCAAAAAGAAAACGCATAGACGGCCCAGGACGGCCCCAAGAGAACCCCGAGCCTCCGAAAGACCCAAGGCATTCTTAGAGAGCCCCTTCGGCGGCCCAAGACGGCCCAAAGACGGCATCGCGGCAGCCGCATGAGACCAGCCGGACAGCCAAGAGGGCCTCACACAAGCCCAAGAGAGCCCCAAGACGACCCCAAAATGGGCCAAGGGACCCCCAATACTGCGTCACGGGAGCCCATGAAAGGACGGAAGAACGGGAGGAATACGACGAAGACAAGAAGAGACCCCCTCACGACGCGGAAGAGCGTGCCCCTTATTACGGCTCCACCAAACTTCTGGACACGAGAGGTCTCACCGTGCGCCATCCGAAAAGTCACCACCCCAAGGTGCTGGGCTGGCACGGTGGCGCGAGTTACCACAAGCTTTTGGATATCGCACATCCAGGGGAGGAACCAGAGGAGGAGGAGGCGGCGGCGGCAGGCGCATCAGAGGGGTGTCGACGGCATCCTCGAAATCGGCCACGGGCAGAAGGCACGGGGACTGGCCGACCATTGCGTCGTCAACCTCCCTTCTAGCGGGCGCCGTGGTTCTAAACCTGAGAGGAAAAGGACCACGCGTGGCCTAGTGGCACGGGGCCCCCACCCGCCCCCCTACCACGGCTGGCACCCACGCTTTGAAGGCAGGGTTGGGCCGTAGGGCGCAGGGCCCAAGGGGGCGGGGAACACAAAACTTAAAGCTCAAAGCCACCAGAACCCCAGGCGGCGGAGAGGGGACAGGGGAGAAAGGGAACCAGCCAGCAAGCCAAGCCAGCACGCAGGGAGGGGCAAGCGAGGAGCCAGCGAAGCAAGGGAGCAGCGGGAGGGGCACAGCAGAACGCAAGCGGGCAGAGAGGAGCCGCCTGAGGTAAAGCCCCCCCTGTTCAAAGTCGCAGGGAGGGCATCAGGAGTCCGCAGGGGCGCTTGGACCGTAAGGGCCCTGGAAGAGATTCCCCCCAGGCGCCGCGAGGCCAGGGGCGCATCCCCCGCGAAGGTCCGAGACAACCCGTCCCAAGACAAGAGGCAACAACAAAACGATAACAACTAATGGTTCCGAGGTCTCAGTCCCAGGATATCTAGGATGCCGCGGAGGGGGAGAGAGGCTTCAGACGAGGAGGAGGGGGGGCACGGCTGCCCGCCGCGGCAGGCGCTGAGTGGCTCACTGAGGACTCAGTGGGGTCGTATTCAGTTCTGGGCGATAGCCTCTGGATCCTCCCTGTCGTCAGTGATGACAAACTGGCCTGTCTCGAAATTCCTCGTGGCCTCATCGAGCTGTGTGGAGATAACCTCTGAGAACTGTGTGGCCCCATCACCGTCGAGGAGGTCCCAATCAGTCTCGAGATGGTTGCAATCGGAGTCTCACCAATTATGCTTCCACCATCCTCGTCCCTGGCCACGGCTCCAGCGCTCAGTCGTCCAGGCCGTCCAGGTGGAGCTGCAGCAGCCTGGCGTTGTGGGACCGCGGCGGGGTCCCGTGCTTGTGGATCCCGCCCAATTGAACTAGGGCGTTCACGACCGTCTGTTCCAAGTCCGTGTTCGAAACCGCGAGGAATAATCTCACTTTGTCCCCTGCGAACGTCGTCTGCAGCCTGCAATGCTTCACCTCCTGAGCGAGCGTCTCGTTGCCGCGGCGCTCGTGGTGAAGCTGGTCGCGGTACTCTGTGATGTTCTGTAGATTGGCCTGCCCGATTCTCTCTCACTGTCCCACTAGCGCCCCGATCAATGCGACCCAGACGTGAGGATGCGGGATACCGAGCTGTGTCAGCTCTGGAACGTCCTGCCCAGCCTGGATCGCCTCCTTGTGACCCTTGCGAAGTCGGGCCGCCTCGTTGCCGTAGAACTTGGCTGTCACCTGCATCGCCTGGATCACGTCGTGCTTTGCTGGCATCTGCACGTGCCTGTAGGTCACCGCCTCCAGGTGGTTAATGGCTGCTTCGTGGCGCAGGGCCACGCGAGCCAGCACTGGCA